GGTAGCTCTGTGCTCAAAGCTGAAAAACGATTGCCCACTTTACCGTTAAGATTCTTTCAGCAATCCAGAGAAAACTGTTGTTTATCACCTCTTTAAAATGTTAAAAGAAATCCTCACTAGAAATAAAGGATGATGAAACTAGAGATGTTTTTTTTTTCAGTGCTTTGATCCTTTTATCTTATATCCTCCTGTGTTTTTAAGCCGGAGTTCACAATAAACATGCAGTTTTCTTCATAAATAGAGGCCTCCTATTCAACACGTGTTTAATATACCGTACTGTAATTCAGAATTAATGTCATAGCTGCTTTGCCAAGATACACGTTTATAATAGTTTGTTGTATCAGTCACTTGCAGGTTTTTCTAAGCTCTCAAAATGCTTCAACTCAGTGTGCTTTTACAAATTGGTTGCCAGTGACGGCGACGCCTAACCCAGTGAATATAGTTTGCATAAACTGGAATAAGCTCTGCATTGATTACTTTAAAAATTAGCTAATTTTGCAACAGTGCAAATTTCTCAGCTTGCATTGTTCAAATGGACACATTCTTCTTAATAAAATTGTTTTTATTCTTTCCCTGAAAGAAATAGTGTTTTAAGAACGTGGTTTCTGGCAAGTTTTCACAGTGAAATGACTGTGTATTTTGAAAGTGTATTTTCCTTGAAATACATGCATAAAAAGGTTTTAAGATATCAGGAAATGCACGATTTTGTTTGTTCTGTAGTTTTGTTTTAGACGTAGCCTGATGTTTGAATATAGGATAGATTCAGAATCTCTTATTTGCCGTTATCTTGTGTCCGCAAGTTACTTTATAATCCATTTGATGTGATAAGACATTACTAGACTGGTCATGATAGTGGAATTGATCAAGCACAAACCATTATCCACTGAAGTTAATGCCTTTAAATGTTTTTTCTCCTCTTTTTGATGCTCTTTTAAAACTAGTGTTGTGCTTCCATTAAACACTCCTATTGTAGCTCCAGCTATTTACCAAAAAACACTATTCAGAAACATAGATGTACTACAGAGGAAGTCAGATTAAACAAAAATATAATATCTTTACCGTGTTGTCATCTGAACCTGATCTATGTGGCTAGAGTGATTGCAGCTCAGGATCAGATCAGTCATAGCGTTTGCAATAAACTCCCTCTGTCAGATTATATAAAGTAAAATCACTTCATAACTTCACCTCTCCTGAACCCGATGTTGGTAGATTAGACATAAAACCAGAAGCAGATGATAACTTTCAGTGCTAAACAGCTCAACAGTCTCAGTGTCATTGTTCACATTTTTCATTCTCCTTGCACTGATATTCATAATTCATGTTCAAATTCGCTTGTTTCAACTCTTCATGTTTTCTTGCTATGAGCTTACATTATAACAAAAGGTCAGTATTTAATGATAATCCTGCAAACAGAAGCGCACAAAAACTGTTTTTAGGGAGACAAACATTAAAAGAACTGGATGCAGTTATGCCTCAAAAATTTTATTTATCAAAACAAACCAGCTAGCATTTTAGCAAAACAACACAGAAAAAAACAATAAATTATTCAATGAAGCATAGAGTTTGGTCATTAATATATATATATATATATATATATATATAAATATATATATATATATATATATATATATATATATATATATATATATATATATATATATATATATATATATATATATAATTTTTTTTATTCAGTAAAGCAGTTTGTCTTTTTTTTGTTTTTGCTAATCCAACATCAGGAACTTTCTCTGACTGAAAAGAGCACAGCTAGCTGAATGCACAGAATTAGGAGAAGAAACATTGGAAGAAATCTGTTAATAAAGTTAGACTGATACCCTCCCTCATTATAAATAAACCACATTATTGTTTGAGGGTTTTCGTAAGGAACCGTGTAATAAAACAAAACCTTTATGTGTTAAAACAAAAGAGTAACTTTGGAGCCAACAATAGAATGTGCTATAACACTAACAGAGTGACAGACACAGGATGCACACACACATCCACACATTTTACAATGCATACATTTGCAGTTGATTTAATTATTTTACTGTTTAAATTTTGCAAGTTGATTGCAAGTTTTTTTAAATGTTAATAAATCTGACGGAACAAATTAAAAACCCCAGGTAGTCTATATATTTTTTTCTAATATCTTTTCTTCTAATCTTAGAGTAATGTTTAACCCCTTTTCATAAAATCTTAGGTTTTTCCTTTACATTTTAAATACAACACCCATAAATTAACCCAAACCAGCAGGTTTACAGATGTGTACTTACAATAAAGAAAAATGAATTTATTTGGATATGAGCTTGTAAAGATTAAGAGTATTATAGCAACATCAACATAAACTATAAGCATATAAAGTTTAATTTGAATTGGGCTATTTAGTGGTGGAAATAAGTCTATGTAAACAAATAATTCAGGAAAAAAACAACTTTTTTAAATTTGTACCTCTTAAAGTTCCATTAACGTGTGCATTTATATAGCCACAACTTTTAAGTTTTAAATTCAAAGTCTTCACTGTTTTCATCCAGTTAAAATGTGAAGCTGAAGGAGAGTTTTTTTCAAGCCACTTGGCATAAAGATGTACTTGGAACCATATTCTTATCTTGCCATCTTTTGCTTCAAGCGCTGATGTAACTTTAATGTAGACAGAAAAAAGGACTATTGCAACAGTGGATAACACAAAACTATTCCTAGAACTGCAAACAGGCTGAGCACTGCACTTTAGGACTAAATACAAAGCAATTGACAAAAAAAAAAGAAACAAAAATTAGGGATGCTATAGATTAATGACATGGGGTTCTTTAAAACATTTTTTTAAACCTAGGATTTTTTTCCGAAGTAAAACAAAACTGACTTTAAAAGTTGTATTTTCCAAAACACTCTTGGAATTAGTAAATAATTTAACAAAAATCAACAACAAATATTTAAAAAAGCCCTTACACACATCTCTATAAGGGGACTCAATATAATGCATCCCTTTTTGTGTGTCAGTCTTGCCCGGTAGAGCAATGACCTGAAACGTGACTTAGAACCAATTTTCAGCACTAGAGAATAAAATATTTATGAACCTAACAACTCAGACTAACAGCACAGGAATGTTTGTAAAACTACTGCATTGACTGGGTTACAGTGTTACAGAATAACCATTTAGAAGTCCAACTATTTTGTAGCTTTTTTTGGCAATAAAAAGTAAAGTAGCATCTGAAAGTAACATTTTCTGCTGAAATCCAGTCGGTGAATGAGTCTGTGTGTTTAAAAGTTAAAAGGTTTAAAGAGAAGCTATGAGCTTTGAACGCTTTTCAGCAAAATACATATGAATTGCTGCCCTTCTGTTTTGCCGCTGCTGAAGGGTTTGATATGTGTCTATATACACGCACCATGCACAGGCAGACCATTCACATGTCTGTAGCTGCTGCCAACTCTCACAGACTGTTCGTAACCCTCAACCTCTTAACAAAAGCATCTCTTCCTGAGCTTTTAGAGAAACACACCCACACACATTGAAGTATGGGTTGTATTTTCACCAGGAAAGTTGCTCTTAGTCATGCAGAAAGCGTCTCACCCTGAAATAATGCTAATCTACAAATAGACGTCCTGGCTATTCAGACACCTTTTCTTAAAAACTTCCTCTGTGTGGCTCTTCCTGAGTTTCCAGCTCGCTTTCCTCTGTAATGTGTTTGGGGTCTGCGGTTCACGGTTTTATCCGCCACAGCAGAATTCCGCTTAGCAGACCGGAATGCCAGGAAAGAAAATGGGCATAGTGCTGCAGCACGATCTGACGACTTCTTTGATGTCTTAGAAGGTGAATGATGAAGGGTATATTTCAAATAGTGAGCATTGAGATGCACAAAGTCAAAGTGTATTTACATTTAAGCAAAAATAAATTCACATTTGGCAGATATATAACAGTTTTTGGATGTTATATATACAGTTTTGTGAATTCCATAAAATTCAGACCTGAGGGGTCCTGGTTAGCCTGATTTCAAAACTAGGAATGTGTTATGTTGGTGTAGACTTCCTGAAACCTTTCTCCCAACCCCATTCTGCCTCTCGCTCACTCATCTCTGCATCCTCCGAGCAGAGGATTTGCCTGAAGTTTCTAGAAACAGTCATTAAACACAAAAAACTGCAAATGTATGCACATTAAACATGAGCTAAACACAGAAATTCCTAATCAGAGTTTGGGTTTCCATATTCTCAGATCATAAAGTTACTTTTAACACAACTTGTTTTCTTTCTTTGAAATGTGATCTTTGCTGTGTACTTTGATTCCAGCCCAGACTGGATTTGATTTAAGCATAAGTATTCACATCTTTTAATCTTTTGACACATTCAATCTCACAAAAACAGACATTTTAAGGTTTGATTGATATATTATGATATTTTAAGACAAAGTGCTGCATAACTGTGAAGAAGTAGAAATAGGATGAAAAAAGGAAGGAGATACATTTTATCACATGCCTTAGTTAATCCCCTTTTTGGTCATACCCCTAATTAGAAATCCACTGCAACGTCTTTTTAGATGTTACCAAAGTAGTTTATATGTTCTGCTTCTGTTTAATTTTAAACTCACTATAAATCCAGGTACTATTCGATACCTCAAAAATTGTTAAGAAAAAAATCTGTGAATTTTTTTTTTCTCCAAAATATTCAGCTTTTTTAGTCCAAAAAATTCAAATCCATTTGTCTTCACTTTACACTTCAGAGTTACATGGAACTTTACTTTGATCTATAACAAATCTCAGAAAAAGCCTTTGAAATTCATGGTTCCAACTAGTGTTGCACCGATACCGATACCAGTATCGGACGGGGCCCCGATACTGCCCTAAAATGGTGGTATCGGTATCGGCGAGTACCAACAAATAGGGCACCTATATCATTTTGAGAGCCATAAGTTTATTCAACTATTGTCACCCACTCCTGGTAGGCAATAAAAAGTTCTACTGGATTCACTTTGTATTAGATTTTTTCCTGCTTCACAAAGGTAGGCAGCAGCTTGACAAAGCCATGATAGCAATTATTTTACATTATTATGGTATCGGTATCGGCCGATACGGCACAGCCGGGTATCGGGTATCGGTATCGGGGCCAAAGAATGGCATCGGCGCAACACTACTGTAGTTCCAACATTACAAAACGTGACAAAGTATAAAAGGTGTTAGTACTCCAGTCAGACCCAACTACATTAGGTGTAGTTTGAGTAGATAAAAACAAACATCAAAAACATGTTTGACAGGAACATTTAGTGCATTTTTGAAAAAAGAAAAAAAAAGCAAGCTGTGCTCAGAGAAAGTTATTATCCTAAAGCTAATCGCATTTTGTACGATGCAAGCCTTCTTCTCTGCTGCGTGTTTGTCAGCGGTGCTGTTTGGTATATAGAGTCCGATGCAAACCAGGAAAAAAAATGTAATCCATCAGTTCTATGGCCAGGATCAACATCTCAGCGAGGGGGCTGAAGAGGACACGCACACTCGCATGTTTCATGATGGGAAAGGAAAATTTCCCCAATAACCCAGCGCACCCGCTGTTTCTGCTGCTGCTGCTTGTATGGACTAGTCTCTGGGGAATACTTGAGCACCTAAAGGAGACAAAGAAGGAAGTAGAGACAGATGAAAACTTCACAATGTTATCCAAAAGAAATAGCAACACAGCAAAAACATTATTTATTAATTGAAAATAACTGCATGTGAGGTTTGCAGTTTAACCATAAAACATCCCTTTACATTCTGCAGGCAAAAAAGAACACAAAAAAACAGCAAAAATGCTGAAATTTAAGTGCTTTATTGTCTTAATTTCCACATAGGGTCATGCTAGTATTTATGTGAGACAGATAATAATGAAGTGACTGGCTGGCTGCCTGCCCTGGAGTCTTCACAGTCCTTCTGCTAGGTGCACCTGTTTGATACTGCTATGGTTGGAGGGACTGGATGGTTAGGCCCATGAAAAACAAGGGGAAAGCTGAAGGTGGTTCAAAACAATCCAAACATAGGTTCAATGAAAACAAACATCTCCCAAAAATGCAAGGCATTGTTTTCTGGTAAGGCCTTACCAGAAAACAAGAGTGCTTAGATTGCAAATATCTTCTCTACCATATGACAGTTGGCCAGATGCTGCTGCATCCAGGGTAAACTCAGGGACAAGCATACAGGCCATCATTCATGCAAACATGTCACGAAGATTTAAAATAGCAGGTTTTTAAATAGGAGGGAGAAAGCTATAAAATCCACAAAACAAAGACCGTGAATGCTCAGGGAGAACATGCAAACTAGAGAGGAATAGTTCTATCCAGAGGGTTGAATCCAGTACTGTTTGGCAGGAAACAGGAGGGACAAATCACAACAGTTCCAAGGTGGCACACGAATTTTCATAAATGATGCAGCAGATTTGTTTACAACATCTGGATGAAGGAAACACTGTGATTAAGGTCGGGACTTCCAAGGATCAAAGCTGCAGTATCTGTAATATTTGTGTCTCTTTAGGAGTTCAATCACTGAAGGAAGAACTTAAGATATCTGTGATAGCATCGAAGAATCAAGAGGAAGCTGCCAATCTCCCACAAACAAACTCACAGCAGAAAAATATTCACAAGGAGAAAAAATATCTCTGTTCAAGCAGGGAAATGCTCTTGTTTCATGGTTGCACATTTAGTGACTGTGGTCTACACATTTACATACAAACACACTCAGAGACAGAGAAGAATTACAATCCAAATCCTACTTTTGTCTCAATTCCTATTGTGCAATTTTTAACTCTAAGAAGAGCCTGAGGCAGAAAAAAGAGCCCTATGGACCACGTTTCAATAATGAAGCTATACCAGAACAAAGGCACAAAGAGATGGAGGGAAGCAAGAGAAGAGAAATGAATGACAGGCTTAAAGTGCAAGAATGGTGCATCGCAAAGGGACAAATTGAAAATGGGAATTGGGAAGAATGAAAGGATGATGAAAGCCCAGAGAGAGGAGAGAATGGGAGATAGAATGCTTGAGAGACAGAGCAACTGGAGGGAAATGAGAAAAAGAGAGAATGTGGCAGACTTCTACACTGTTGCTTTTGCTACTGGTGCAGCGCCGGCCTCAACACTCTCATCTTCTTCTTCCTTCTTCTCCTACATTTACTATATGGCTATATTTTTTTTTTTACCTGCCACTTTACACTCACAGTCTTTTTAGGCTATTAAGGTCAACTCATTTGTTGTATATAGAAGCTAAACATGTCACATGTTTTAAAATCTTGATGAATATTGTTACAAACTGGTAAATCTCAGGGAAGACATATCTCTCTAAAAATCTGGTCTAGGTTTCTTATGAGCAATGAAACATTTACAGCTATTGAGTTTGTATATGATCAAGTAGCTCTATCCATTAATAAAACAACTTCTTAAAACATTTACACATATTGCCATATTTTATCATTTGTCTGCACATACTCTTGCATTAAAGAGCCAACAATTATTATTGCAAACACATCTTAACAAGTCAGAATACCACTAAAAAATGTATTCCTTTCAGCAATAAATCATAAACTAAAATTCAGTTAAAAATAAAATGACCAAATCAAATAAGAGGCCAATATGAAAGGATTTGAATATATTTTCACTATCATAATACAAACAAAATCACTTTTTTTGGCCATGGCTCTGTTTACATGAATTACTGCATTAAAACAATGTGGTTTAGAGGTTATCAACCTTCTGTTCCAATAAACATGGCATTACGCTCATCTGCATTGTTGAATCTTGTACCTTGACATACCCCATATACTTTCTATGTTGTTTAGGCCAGACCAGTTTTCTGGCAGAGATCCCATGGTCAATGAACCTTGTGTTCGTTCTTTTGACGTTTTGAACCAAATTAAATCAACATCTCCTTTAAGCTTGCCAACAGGGAAATATTACTTTGGAACTAACTTGGGATTTGGTAAACACACTGTACAAACAACAGCAGATGCAACATTTTATCAACTAATAATCAGTAAGGTTTCCCATTCAACCTTAAACAACATGCATTGTGTGCCTCTTCAGTTCACATCTATACTCTGGGATCTTGGTTCCCGTACAAGTCCTTGGAGCACAGAGAAGCACAGACAAATTGCCGTTTGTGAACAGCTAGCTACTTCAACAATCTTTTGTGGCTTCAAGCCAAAATCAGTGAGTGCCACAGAATAAATACTTAAAATGTATTACTTTTTTTTAAACTAAATTACTGAAATAAATTATATTTTCTCTTATTTTTTAACGAACAGTATGGGTATGTGCAAATAGAGCAGTGACATTTCGGGTATTAAAATTAATTTATACTGTAATTCCTGAACCATTTTAAGTGCTAGGTTTAATAGATAAACCTTTATTCCTGATATTCTTTAATACATAATGATGAGAGAAATCCATTAAATCCGAAATGTGTACAAATTACGATTTAAAGGTCCATCTTACTAAATCAGCAGTGTCCTTTCTGAAACAACAACCGTGTTGATTACAATATATGTTGCTAGAAGACTCATTCATTCATTGTTAATAGAGATGTCAAAGTTAGCCAAGCCACATGGACTGTTGCAGCCTCATATATAAACCACAACAGATGTTCACTGTGATAAAAGGATCATTATTCCCTTTGCTCATTAGCAAACATCATGCATTCTCGATTTCAAAAATAATTTTAAATTCTCCCTTGCTGACCTGTCCAATGTCCAACCCGTTCCCCTGCCTGGGATTGGCTCCATATGCATAGTGCTTGTTAACAATGATTTTCAGAAGCGTTCCTAGACCATCATGGTTTTTTTCTACCACAGAGCTATGTTCGATTTTAGTGCAGTACAGTAATGCCTGAAAACTAAAAAATAAAAAAGCATATATTCAGTACTTTAAGGTAATGTGCTATTAAGAAAATGATCTGGATTATCTGACTCTTTATTAATTACTTTTTTTTAATTGAAACCTTTCTTTCATCAGAAAATAAACCTTTTAGGTTGTTAAAAGATATATTCAGTCAGTCTTTGAAGGAGCAGGGAAAACTTTACTTCAAAACAGAAGAGTCTCGATGGGATTCTCTTTGACCTTGTCCAAACTTCTCTTTAAGACCCACTGCTGAGATTACATACCAATTTATTCTGCACACTTTTGAGAGCAGGCTAAAAATCAGTATTGTAGTAAAGACTACACCATCCGAGACCAAAGTACAGAGACCGAGACAAGACCAAGACATTATATGATCATGGTCTTGTCCTCTAAAGGTCTTTTCTTTGTCTCAGTACTGCTTAATCTTGGTTGGTTTGGTCTTGACTATAATACTACTAAAACTATCAGACCTCAACAAACAACACTCACAGGCAAATCCATTGCATTGAGAATTTGGCATGTCTGATCAGTATCTTAAAGTTTCTATTAGATGCCAGTGTAAATTCTCATTCATTGGGATTGCGGAAACCACATTACAGGTGCGAGCCAAAAGAATTGACAAAGACACCTGGAAAGAGGGAAAGTCCAGTTTCCTTCCAATCTCAGCCTGTTTTATGGCTTCCATTACACGTTTACATGCATTGATAAAATGCATTAATGTCTTCTTGACTTGCGGATTCAAACAAACTATTTAAACAATCTCATTTGATGAAGTTAACATACACATATAAATAAATTAAAAGGGTTTTCTCTAGTCTATTCCCACTAAATTTAAATACAGGCTTAAATACAGTGCATCTAATATTTTTATCAGTCATCAAAAAGTTTGTGGTAGAACAAATTAATAACAAAAAACATTAAGAATGAATTTCAGTTTCAATTAATTTCTTGAATTTTAGGCACAGAACCAGCTTTTAAACATAACCCACAGATTTCAATGGGATCAAGGTTTGGGGCCATTGCAAAAACAATCTTTAGTCTGTCTTAACATCCAAAATCCAGTTTTGTGTTGTATTGTGGATCACTGTCCTGTTTTGATTTTTTAAATTGTGTCCTTGTTTAAACAATCAGGTGGTCTGGGCTAGACCTACCTCATGAAGCTTTGTCGTGGTTTTCAAAGGCTGACAGGAACAGCCAGTGTTCCAGTTATTAGTTCCACAGCCACAGTTGCCTCCACACCGTTTCACCAAAAGACATCGAGGGAAGAAGACGGCATTGGTGGTCTTCAGCTCTTCTCGCAGATTCACAGAGTAGTTGCGCGGTGTGCAGCTAAATCGCTTGACATCATCATGAAGTCGATTCAAATCAACTGGATATTAGGAAAAAAAAAAGAATAAATAATAATAATTTTATATGTAAACGTTTGAGTCTCATCTATTCAAAGCACTAACACAAATAAATTCAGTAAGAGAAACTAGAGTTATATAATTTTTTAAATACGATATACAAGCAAAATAGAGCTGACTGTTCTCATTCACACAAATAACACACATTCTATACAAATAGCAAAGATTAAAAAACAATTGCTTTGGTTATTGCCTTTTATTACATCAGATACCCTTATGTTACTTCATTAAATGTTGAAAAAATATCCATCACTCCGTCAATTTATAGGGAAAATTTAACGTTACCAATCAACTTAATGCATGTTTTATTTTTTTTTCTTGGAATGTGTAAGGAAGCATGAATACCCAGAGAGAATGCAAAAAAAAAAAAGAAGAAATAAACATATTTAGTCTGTAAAGAGAAGGAATAGTATTTACCTAGACTGTTTGTTTGCACATCCCCTTTTTTTCAACATTTTTCCCTTTCAGTTTTCATTGCAGCTGAAATAAATACACATGATCACCAAGAACCAATCAACATTTTTTTTTTGTATCTCATACCTGATATAACAATTACAAGCAGATCCTTGCTCTGGCAACATTGTGAAGGAATCGATCAGATTAAATTATGCAGGAGGTGTAAAGCCCTTCTATTTGTTAGGAGGACTACAATAACCGCTGATGACAAAGATGGTGAAGATGAGAAGATGAAAGACAAGACACTATAGGCCTGAAAAAGAAGCAGAGCAGAGAGGCTCTAATTCATCAAAAATCATTCTAAGGATTCTGGTCTTTCTTCTTGTCATCAGTCTGAAGGAAAATTGCCTCATTTGCCCATATAAGACCCTCAGCCACGGATTATGAGTCATTTTAGGGAGGTGAAAGTGAACGGACAAAATGATGGAAATTGTTTTGACAGGATAGGATTAAAAAAGGACGAATCACAAATTGCAACATAGATATAAAGCATTGTATGCGACTCACAGTGATCACTCGTAACATTAGCAAACTGCATCCGTTTATTCCCTTCCCCTCAAATAACACATTTCTTGCAAAGAATGTGAGTGCTTTAACATACTATAAAGATAATGGAGACTAACTGTAAGTTTGAAGGACAGATGGAACAGAAAACAAAAAGGAAGATGAGGAGCAGACAGCCTAATGAAAGCAACAATCAGTGGAGAACTGGGAGAGTAGGGTAATAATCAACACTCTTCATAGCAAAGGCAGCAATTACATCAAAAGTCACTCTTGACCCTGATGTTGGCAGTTTTGTCAAAATAAACTTCAGTATAAAGAACAAACTAAATAGCAGGACTATAAGCTTGTAAAATACTCAGCAATCAAGATTGTGTTTGATACTTTCAACATAAAATAAATTCAGAAGAATTTATAATCTAACTTTTAGTTTAAAGCTGCAGTGCATCAAACACACTGAAGACCTCAGGGTTGTGGAGTCATTAAATCAATTCACTTACAAAGTCTACCTTAATAACTGCAAGAAAATGAGATCAAATTTCTATTTAATTAAAAAGAATATGGCTTGGTCCAAATTAAAAGAAATTGAGTGCAGTTCTCTCCAATAAGGTAATTTTCAAATATAGTATAGTATAGTATAGTATAGTATAGTATAGTATAGTATAGTATAGTATAGTATAGTATAGTATAGTATAGTATAGTATAGTAAGTTCGAGCCCCACTCCCACAGAGTGCCACTCTGGGTCCCTGAGCAAAGACCCTTAACCCCACACTGCTCCATGGGTGCCGCACGATGGCAGCCCACTGCTCCCCAAGGGGATAGATTAAATGCAAAGTGTGAATTTCGTTGCTCTGTACTCTTGACTTTTCAAGAGTTCAACTTTGAAGCAAGAAGTGAATTGTGACTTTTAAACACACAAACAGAAAACAGAAGCCTCTGAACTGGATGCTCTACAGCCCTCCTGATGTGCATTCTCCTGATGTGCATTATCTACAGTCAGATTAATTATGTAAAGAACAGTCTTCATATGATGAATCTTTGTTTATCAATTAACATAAATCATGGTATCAAATTACAATTTTAACAATTGTAAGAAGTCTAAGTAAATTATTTCAATTGAAAAAATTTTGAGCAGTCTTTGTGATCAGCAGATATGTCAAATCCATATCGGGAGTATATTAACACAAAAAGACTGGACTAAATATGAAAGGTATAGAAACTATTGTCGAAGATTGCAGCACTATTGCACTTTAGAGTACAAGACCATAAGAAACTGCAAAAAATAATTTTAATGTTTGGATCTTTGTTTCACCAATCACTGCAGCTGCTTTTTCTAAGCTAAAGTTTAACATGTTTTTAGCTTTGATTATTGCTCGAAGAGAATCCCTGATATCACAAGAAAGGTAAGTAATCAAAGCCCTTTTTGAAATGAATATGCAGTGCAAAAGTCATTTTTTAAATTATTTTTGTGGGTTTAATAAAGAAGAATCATAATAATTGTGTAAAAAAAAAGACTAAAGCTGATGACAGCATGTGAAATCTCACGTAGAAAGAATGAAAATAACCTGCTTTCAGGAATTCATTCTAAGAGGAAAAGTGCTCAAAATGATTATTACTAAGTAAGATCCTTCATATTCCAATGTGTTATCTTTAAAATCTAACCATGGCAGCAACTGAGAGTTAGGCTGACCAGTAAAAAGGGAACTTAATAGCGTAATGAGAAAAGTGAGAAGAAAAAATACTGATGCAGTTTACTCTGTGGTAGAATCTAACTTTTTAGGATTCAGCAAAAAGAACTAGACAAGAGAAAGTAAAATGACTAAACAGCCTAGGCCCTTTGCGTCTAACCATTAAGCCGTCAGTGATTGACTGAATCTTTTCAAATGGAACCTTCTGCACCACAGGGAGGAACAATCAAGACTCTTATGCTGTTCAGGAATCAAACCTTGAGTGGTTAACTGAATGCAGGCATCTGCTCTCTGCTCTGTTACAAAATCGATTATTATGTGTGTATCATGACTTTGTTCTTTATTCTTCTGCCGCCATCGTGAAATTCTAACTCTCCATTGACCAAGCAAAAATCCATTACACTATAAGCTGACTAAAACAAAGTTGAAGGCATGTTTGTATTCATCAACCTTGTCTGTAGTCTCTGTAAGACGAAGCTAAGATTGTTCTTTGTTCCTCATAATGACCTCACCAATTAAAAAAACTGAATATTTAAGCATTTCAAACATTTTGCTGGGAATATCTAAGCTTTTTTTGTTCAGTACAACCATTTTCTCCAATTCAATACAAGAGACAGACTTTTAAACATCAATATTTCCAGTGAATAGTAGCAATGTATCTTTGTTTCTCTGAGATGCATCCAACTCAAGTGATCATAGTATTTTTTGTTTTTTTGTGCTACTAAATTAGACCAGTCTGAGTAACAATGACAAATGGGCTTGACCTTTTGATTCTCTGAGAAAAAAAAAGTCTGAAGATAATGACTTTAGAAAACCGAATGGTTAAAAAACTGCCATTATGTCTTTTCTTGCCTTGCCATCTTGCCATATGTACTGATATATATACAAATATATTTTACATGGGTTTAAACTTTTGAAGGGAAGCTCATTCGTTAAACACTGATTTTTGGGGGATGCATCTTTAATACTCTATATACAGTCATCAAGAGCCCAAAGTGATCAATTTGTTAAAATTCTGGATAATTAAGTAATAGTGAGGGGCTGCCTTAGTGTTGGGAATGAATCCAAACATTTAGCTTTTGAGAAGAGGGACTCTTCATGAATGTAGACAGAGGATCTACATATTTAATATGACATTAAGTACAATTGCTACTGGTTCAGTACTATTCTATAAAATTCAAAGAGAAATGTTTTAATACCTTTTAGACCAAATTCTGACACTAGCCCAAATCATTCTTGAGAAAAAAGGCAAGAAACATCAAAGTCTGAGGAAATTATTTTACTTTCGTAGCAAAAGTTGAAAATTTAAATTAACCAATCATTGCTTGAAATCACAGCTAATGTAGGAAATTGCCATGTTTTACATTTTGAGTTATGATTGCAACATCTTAATTTTAGAAAAAGTTGCAGTCATCATGCAAATTTAAGACATCAAAAACATCTAGAGATATAAAAATGTATACAGTGACAATAACATCTCTCTGTAAAGATTTTCAAATCCTATTTAAATAGAATAGAATTTATGTGTGTAATATGTGTGTGATACTGATTCAGTTGCTGTTATTTTTTTGCACAGTAAAATTTTACCCTGAACAAGATAATTGCTGCAGTGCTTTTTTGTAAATTACGTTTTTGTGGGGAAAAAAAGCTATTTGTTGACATGAAGCCTTAATCAATATATATTGCTGTATAATTTTATTCAATAATAAAAATGACATATATAGCTTATTATTAGAGTGTTTAAAAAAAAAAAGAGATTATTCCTAAAATGTTTTATTCGAGAAGTTTTATAAAACTGGCAAAAAAATTATTTTCAAAAGTTTGTAAGAGTGTGATTTAATAATTAATTAATAATTAATTATCGACCCAGCCCTTTTTGATAAATAATTAAACCATTACCTTTTCACTTTCAATACTTAATATCATATAATCTAGTGAAATATGTGTTATATTTATTATAATAATATGTAGAAATCGATTAGAGGGGAGTGTGAAGAATAAACAAGGGCATCTGGACTTCAGGCCACAGCCTTCGTTCTGTTGGGCCTATGTCATATTGAAATCTGAATTTGAATGCCTAACTTAGTTTGTGTCTACTGTGTTCCTGTGAAAATTAAAAATTTTTTTTTTTATGTATAATTTATTTTGATTTATTAAATAAGCTATAGCGTGTTTTTGAGATGAGGATAGCTGTTAAACATTTCTATCACATTTTGATGTAACTAAGGCTTCTGTGGGTGATTATTATTATTCTTAGGCTCAATTAGTTGTTATTTCAGAGTGGACATGTATACAGGAAAAATGTATTCTGGTATTACATGGTTGCCCATATGTGAGTGTTTCCTGGGCATGTATGATTCCTTGCTTGCAGAGCTGAGCCTGTTTAAAGTAGTGCAATCTCAGAAGAGCAGTGGTGTGGAACTCTGTCAGAAAATGTAGGAGGGAGAAAGAACCAAAAAAAAAGAAACAATGAAATTTTTCATGGAAGACTTTGACTCATGAAGGCAGCAACATGAAGCATGTGCTGTACCCCTTTATTAGTGTGTAGGAATTAGAAGTTTTTTTTAATGATGCTGCAAAGTGCAACTTAAGTCCACAAAGTATCATACACTTGTTATGCCTTATGGTTTAAGATTATAAACAGGTAATATTGTGGTTATAATAAATACCATTTAATGTGATCATTCATTCTTTTTCTGTGGAAACAACCACAGGTCTGCAATCGTGTGCCTTAATGAAAACAAAGTTAAGCTGCTGACTGCAGCAGATTTTTTGTGCTGCTGCACATGTGGAACTTCCAATTAGAGAGTTCGACATCGGCGTATTAAGAACCCATAGTGCAGACCCAGCTTAAAGCATCATTGTAAAAGCCACAAGCTCCTTGGATAGAGGGCTTTCTCATACCAGCAGAGCAAACACATTCCCAATAAATACAAATAAATTTGCTGTCAAGCTCAAATGTTTACTTAGGAATGGAACATCACTCAATGAGACATACTGAAACAGAGTGCTGAGTGATACACAGTATAAAGGCAGAGGCAATGAAGTCTAAAGCACTTTGGTTACAAGATTATATCTTCACATAAACGCTTTGCTGTAAATGTGCGCAGAAATAATCATATTAAATTTTCCAAAAAAACATAAGGCAGAGTCATACGGAAAAGGTACACTTAAAAGTACAATGGAAAATAGAGAAGGCAATGCAGAACTATGACTCACCCTGTAAGTGCTGTTCTTGTGCGCTTTTCACATGTTGCATTTGTGTGATGCAAACACTTACTAAAACCCTAACAGTACGTTTTTAAAAATTCTGAATTCACAGACGAAACTAACCGATATGAGAATGTCAAGTTATATTTCTCTGAGTAGTCGTTCAGAGGAGCTTTTTAAAACTCAAAAAACCTCAAAATCTGTAGAACATATTTAAAATTAACAAACTAACACTGCTGTTCAGAGTAAACCAATTTTGAATTACGCATAATGTAACAAGTGGAGCATGCAATCATTTCTAATGTCTTTGTTGCATCTGCTTTTATTTTTAATTAGTTGGATTTGTTCAAAACGATTTTAGAGTTGCTTCTGTAGTTAATATCTGCACATGATAAGATGCTTTGCAGTAAAACACCAATGTTTTGTCCTGTTTGTCTTCCTCACAGCCTCTACTGAGGGGCACCTGGAGCTGCTCTGACTAGCCGAGGTGGACAAAGTGGAGCTGACACCATGACTTGATAAGAGAGCTACAAAGCAGACAAGGTCGCTTTGTAGGAGTTAATTCTCATTAAATGGAACTGCATAAAGATGCATTTACATAATAACTTTGAAAGCCCCAGTGCCAATTTTTTTTGTTTTTTATCAATCTCTAAGGTTAAAAGCTTTTGATTTGACACACATTAACTTTACACACTTTAATTTAGTATGGGTGGAGCTAACAGGGAATCCATGTCAATGCCTTTAACTCTCTTGATCTGTTTAGTTGTTTTCTATTTTGTTTTTACAAAATAAGGACCTGCATCACATCAGGCTAATAGGTTTCAGGTCGCTGTTGAGTTGTGCATGGGTTTACAATACATGCAAATTATTAATTCCTTGTCTGAGTCTTTGAAGTTAGTTAACAAAAATAACAGCTTTTTATGAGATTCTTCCAGATAAAATATAAAAATACAAAAAAAATGAAAGCACATATCTTGTATCGACTGTGTTGCATAAGTAAATATTCTATTTTTACTTAATATTATGGGCATATTTGCTCCCCTGCATTTTCTATATTCCTGATTTAAAGATGAACTTCTAACATAATAGTAAACAAACAGATTTGTTACACTTACCTTTGTTTTGTCTACTTGCCAGGTGGTAGGACTTGGATCTGTAATATATGTAAGTTTGAGTGTAGATGCTTTCCAGGTCTTGCCTCCAAGTAGCTGGGCTCAAAGATTTAAGAAGTTCTTCTATTGTGTCAAAAGTAGCTATGGTTTTGTCCAGGTCCTCCAGGGTCTGAGGAAACTCTGTGGGTGGCATCTCATTTGTTCCCATGTCCTGCAAAAAAAAAAAAAAAACAACAAAAAAAAAACAGAAGAACTTGAAAAGTAAAATTAATCTAAAATAAATTTCCCATTGCTTTTTTTTAATATTTTCTGCAAAAAAATCTAATCTGTAGAAAATACATATTTTTAAACCCATTTCAATGTATGTTGTTGTTAAATGCCTTAATGAGATGGTTACCCTGTTACTATTGTTGTAAAGCGAAACTGATTGACAAAAAATTATGTATTTATTTTAAAGGTACACTGCCTGGTTGCCGGATCTTAGCAGTGAAAGCCGGGGGGTCGTTTTAAAAACACCCATTTATATCTGTAGAGTACACAAAAATACGGGTGTTTGTTTTTAACAACAGATACATCCATTTAAAACATGCTGCAGATAAATACATGACTAAAATAATCCAAGGGACCTACGTGGTTCTATCCATATATGGTAACCAATAACCAATAAGACACAAGCTGTTGCTGATATAAAAAGTAAGATTAAAAAAAATAAAATAAAAATCAGTGGATTTATAATACTGGTCATTTTTAAAGTTGGATTGAAGAGTAGCCTAGTCTTCACACTGAGCCTGGTTCTGCTGGAGGTTTCTTCCTGTTAAAAGGGAGTTTCTCCTCTCCACTGTCGCTACAAGCATGCTTAGTGTGAGGGATTACCTGTGAGTCAATAGAATGAACTGGTTTGAAAAGTGCCTTGAGATGACACGTGTTGTGAATGCTGCTATATAAACAAACTAAATTGAAATGCTGTAAGAACACAAAAGAAAATGAAAATAAATGTATTCCCTAATCATTAATTTTTTGATATAGACTATTTTATTTTGTACGTCAAAAAAAAAAAAAAAAAAGGAGCTGTTCTCTATTTATTGTGGATTTTTTGTTGGAAAGCGGATAAATGAATGAAACACGGATACAAAATGGTACCAAAAATAAATTATTGATCTAACTGATTTATGGTTTGTATTGGATATTATTTCATGTACTAGTTGCTAAATAAACATCAACTTATAGATAAATAAGCTATTCTTTGGAATATTTGGTTACTATACATTCATATTTCAGGGATATTACATATTTTTGACCTAGTTTGAATAAAAGATTACTGGTTTTATTCAAATAAATATTGAAAGTTGAATAAAACTGATACATTCAGCTTTGACAAATTAAGAGTATTTGAGTATTGGGTTCAATGTAACATTCAGCAGATAAAAACTATGATCTCAATACAAATTGATCTATAATCTTACTTTTCAAATCCTAATTAAAACAGACCTGTAAAGAAAAAAGAATGAAGTGAATCTAAGGGACCTATCAGTCACCATGACTGTTCCTTATATGTCCATAACAGGGGCCAGGGCCAGTTCTACAGGGGCAGGGGCCCCTGTTGGCCCATCTAGAACCACCCACGGGGAAGGCAAAGACATGGGAAGAGAGAGACAGAAGGACAGAGATGAAACTGAAGAAGCACACTGAGAGACAGATGGGTACAAAGACATTTTGAGACATCAATGTAAGGGGAAAGTTACCCTCTTTGCAATGGTATCACAGATAGAGAAAAAAGATCACCAAGAGACAGGCATAGAGTAAAATACTTACAGAAATAAAGCATTAGGAGTGGGTGTGTTTAAGATTTTGTTAGGGAAAATTTTGAAACGAGCCCTGGCAAAATGGGCATAAAGAAGAATGAGTGTATGTATACCAACTTGGTACACTGTTACTCAGTTCGGATATATAAAAGTTCCTCATAAAAAAAAAAAAAAAATAGGACTCAGTAACAGGGAAACTGAATGAGGTGAGAATGATGGGGGAAGCGATAACCACCTGGATAAATATTCATTCACTGTTTTTTTTTTTGGTGGTAATTAGCATTTTTTGTATTTTATCAGGTGAGATAATAATATCTATGATGAGATTATATTAGAATAACCCCAGTATTTCATCTATTAATAACCAACTTCCTTTAGGTGTATGAAACAAAATACTATTAACTATTAAATTGTAAGTTTTCATGTTGTGCAATCTAATGTTTTTGGAAGAGTTTTTGATTATATTATTTCACTATTTTAGAATAGTGTACGATTGAGAGAAGAGGAGATAGGAAAGAGATTGGAAGACTGATTGAATGAGAGCAGAGGAAAATAGGAGCACTGAAGGAAAGAACGGTTGAGGAGAAGGAAGAAAAATCTACTTAGAGGAATATAACAGAGAGCAGATGTCAGAAGAGGGCTAGAAAGAAAAAAATGTGTCAGACATGTGTTTTGATTTTGATATAAAATCAGAACACTAAATGAGAGTAAAGAATAATTTTAGTATGACTTCATCATTGAAGTGAATACTTGGTATCTTTGGATTCAAAGACTACTAAGCACACAAACCCATTGGCAGAAGTAACTAAAAGCATTTAAATTAAGTTTAAAGTAGACACATATTCATGTTTGATATGTCATGGTAACTAGGGCTGGGCGATATAGAAAAAAGCTTATCGACAAAAAAAAAAGCATATTGATCGATATCGATAATTATTGAAAAGATTTGAAACCATATTTTATGTGCAGTTCTAGCTGGACTTTTTAAGATATTGCTAAATGATTTAATTTTAATAAAGAACACAAACACAGACTTCCATTTAAATATTTATTTAACCAACTTTTTTAAACATAACAATTGTTTTAAAGAAAAATAACTTAAGAGACCTAAGTTATGTTATTAAATACTGACAAAAATAAACTAAAGTGACCAGAAAAGTGACCAAAATAAATATAACAAATACATAAATAGAATACCCTATTTGGGTGGGAATAGTACACCACCAGCTTGTGGTGAATTAAAAGAGTGTAGGACTAGGCTACCATGTAAACTCCACTCAACAAAAACAAAAAGCCAAATCAACTCACCCTTTAGCCTAGCATTTCTATGGGGTATTTTTTCTCACCCCTATTCTTCTAGAGGTGCTGCTGGCACCTCGTTATGGTTCAGCTGAGTTTCCTGCTTTAAAACTACGTGCCCCGAACTGAATATATATATATATATATATATATATTCCTCGTAGGAGAGCCGCACCGGGGCCTACACAGCTCGTACTCCTGCGGGTGTGAGCAGCTGAGATGATAAAAAAAAAAGAAGTTGGTTGTGTTATCAGACTTCGTTTTCACTGGTTCCCTACACATTTTACAGATGACTGTGGTTTGTTTTTTGTCCGACTTGCCATGACCGAAATACTGCCAAACTGGCAAACTACAAAAACCCTTCTTTGGAACAATTTCCTCCGCCTCTCCTTGCTGCGACATCTTCATGTGCTCTGTGTTGTGGTTTGAGAGGGCGGGGCTTTGTGACGGAGTGCCTGGGTCCGCGATTGTGATTGGTTGGGAGGAAGCAGTGACTAGCATAAACCTACATGATAGGCTACAATGAGAAGGAAGGAAAACTGCGTTACTTATCGAACTTTTATCGACTCTGTTATTGAATTATCGCCCAGCCCTAATGGTAACTATGCACCACCTTATACACTATATTGCCAAAAGTATTTGCTCACCCATCCAAATTATTGGAATCAGGTGTTCCAATCACTTCCATGGCCACAGGTGTATAAATTCAAGCACCTAGGCATGCAGACTGTTTTTACAAACATTTGTGAAAGAATGGGTCGCTCTCAGGAGCTCAGTGAATTCCAGCGTGGAACTGTGATAGGATGCCACCTGTGCAACAAATCCAGTCGTGAAATTTCCTCGCTCCTAAATATTCCACAGTCAACTGTCAGCTGTATTATAAGAAAATGGAAGTGTTTGGGAACGACAGCAACTCAGCCACGAAGTGGTAGGCCACGTAAACTGACGGAGCGGGGTCAGCGGATGCTGACGCGCATAGTGCGAAGAGGTCGCCAACTTTCTGCAGAGTCAATCACTACAGACCTCCAAACTTAATGTGGCCTTCAGATTAGCTCAAGAACAGTGCGCAGAGAGCTTCATGGAATGGGTTTCCATGGTCGAGCAGCTGCATCCAAGCCATACATCACCAAGTGCAATGCAAAGCGTCGGATGCGGTGGTGTAAAGCACGCCGCCACTGGACTCTAGAGCAGTGGAGACGCGTTCTCTGGAGTGACGAATCGCGCTTCTCCATCTGGCAATCTGATGGACGGGTCTGGGTTTGGCGGTTGCCAGGAGAACGGTACTTGTCTGACTGCATTGTGCCAAGTGTAAAGTTTGGTGGAGGGGGGATTATGGTGTGGGGTTGTTTTTCAGGAGCTGGGCTTGGCCCCTTAGTTCCAGTGAAAGGAACTCTGAATGCTTCAGCATACCAAGACATTTTGGACAATTCCATGCTCCCAACTTTGTGGGAACAGTTTGGAGCTGGCCCCTTCCTCTTCCAACATGACTGTGCACCAGTGCACAAAGCAAGGTCCATAAAGACATGGATGACAGAGTCTGGTGTGGATGAACTTGACTGGCCTGCACAGAGTCCTGACCTCAACCCGATAGAACACCTTTGGGATGAATTAGAGCGGAGACTGAGAGCCAGGCCTTCTCGTCCAACATCAGTGTGCAACCTCACAAATGCGCTTCTGGAAGAATGGTCAAAAATTCCCATAAACACACTCCTAAACCTTGTGGACAGCCTTCCCAGAAGAGTTGAAGCTGTTCTAGCTGCAAAGGGTGGACCGACGTCATATTGAACCCTATGGATTAGGAACGGGATGTCACTTAAGCTCATATGTGAGTCAAGGCAGGTGAGCAAATACTTTTGGCAATATAGTGTATTTCAACCCTTATAAATTATATACGTTGTCCACAGAGTGGCATGGAAAGAATTCAGGTGAGCTTTATACATTTGCTGTATGAAATACAAAACCATTATATGCACATTAGCTTTTCAAATTGAAAATACATCTCATAAGCTTCTAACTTTCCATTTCTTTCTAAGATTACAAATATAGAAGAAACCAGTTAGTTACAGAAATAATCAAAACAAAAACAGGCATTTTCTGTTCTTCTTTTCTGTACAGTATATTAGTTGGTGTGACAACTCACCGACAAGAGTTCTGGAGCTGCCTCCAAGTTGGTGTCACCCTAGAACAATATAAAGCAAATCAGAACACCCTCAATAAAAAGTTATTAAAAAGAATAGAGACTATTTATCAAGAACTGACATATTTAGTACATTTTATTATTTGTGTGTTTTAAGGCTTCAGTATGACATTACCCTGTTTCTCAACCATGGACCAAGCAAGACTTGTTATATTTAGGATTCCTTTGGTACTGAACTTTTTTTTTTTTATCATAAAGAAAACAGACAGCTCTAAAATTTGAAAAAAAAAAAAAGAATTGAATAGAATAAATGATGTACTTCCATAATTTACCCAATGGGGAATTTATAGAAGAATATACAGTACATCATCATCTGGGAATATTACACAGTAAGGTTTTAATGGTATGCATACAAGTACCAATACTGTTGATATAAAAAAAGAAGCCAGAGGAAGTGCCCTTCAACCTAAAGTTCACCATCGGGGAGCAATTGGGATTTTGAGTGACATATGAAGATGGAGCAAAAAATAATAGACAAAATTATCATGGGTAAACAAGATCTAACTGCTGTGATGTTTAGTTTTTGTGATGAGGATGAGTGGATTTAATGGGAAGGCAAGGCAAATTTATTTGTATAGCACAATTCATTACAAAGACAATGCAAAGGGCTTTACATGATTAAAATGTAGGAAAATAAAACAGAATCAAAGGAAGTAGGGAAAAAAAAATAAAAAAAATGCAGAAACAAAAAAGAACTTTAAAAATGGTTGGACGAAAGAAAAGAAAAAAGTTGAACTAATGATGTTTTAGTTGAACTGTTTAACTAGAACAGCAATCCTAAACAAATGTGTTTTTAGTCTTGATTTAAAGGAACTCAGGCTTTCCGCACTTTTACAGTTTTCTGGAAGTTTGTTCCAGATAAGTGGAGCATAGGAACTAAATGCTGCTTCTCCATGTTTACTTCTGGTTTTAGGTATGCAGAGAGGGTTGATACACTGATAGCAAGTCTGTGATGTATTTAGGTGCTACTGTAAGCCATTCAGAGATTTATAGACTAACAGAAGTATTTTAAAGTCTATTCTCTGAGATACAAGGAGCCAGTGTAAGGACTTTAGAACTGGGGTGATGCGCTGTGTGACTTCATTCAGATGACACCGTTTCAACCCACCTCCAGCCCCTCCTCCACCATTGTAGCTAAAACTTCATCTGAGTGTCATTCCTCCCGGACTCTTACTGCATTCCCTGTCTCATCTCAACCGGTCCGGCAGAAGACCGCTATGTTGAGCGTGGTTCTGCCAGAGGTTGCTTTCCAACTGGGTGTTTTTCCTCTCCACTGTCGCTTCATGCTTGCTCATTATGTACAGGTTCTCTCAACCTGTATTATCCAACTGGACTTCCATCTTCCAGGTCCCTGAGTGAAGCTCTAGTATCAGCTCACGCAATCCACTGGATCTCCCCAAAAAGCTCAGCATACCGTCTCTCTAACCAGCAGTCTACAGACTGACCAACTTTATCTATCTCCACTCCACCACCAGTTTCAGGCCTGGGGGGCAACAGCCCTATTCTTTTCTCCTTTTCATGCATATCTATCAAAATTAAGCGCCATGTTTCCTGCCGAGGTCTGAGCGCCAAAGACAAGTAATTGTATCAATACATTTCTCCTAATTGTCTTTCTCTTCATGTTCTTGTCTTTACTTAACCTAATCTAATTAACCTACACAATGCTCATTTATTACAATGAGAAAGATGTGTCTTCAAATACAGAGTAATTATATGTCTAGGTTTGATTGAGGACTGAAATTTTAATCCAAGTATTCATTACCAAATTTAGGTTGACAGTAATCTAGGAAACATTCTTAAATGTATAAAACGATCTTCCACATCAGACAGGATGAAAGGTCAGATATTTTAAACAGTAACCTCTCAACTTACAGCTCAGTATCCTCTGTTTGTCTCTCTTGTTACATACTTAACCTCTAGTTGTGTTCCTGAAAGGCTGTCAGTCTTTTGGTAAAATGGTTCCAAAGAGATTGTTCAGAGTTTATATTTTTACAGGCATGTACTTGTTGAAGAAACAAATCACAATCATGTAAATGTATGTTGCTATGCTAACACAATTGTCCAGATATTTATTTTGTATACCCTGCGGGCATACTATTTGTATACTATTCAGCATCTACACACATCTTGTAAGGGATCACATCCTTTTCACAAACATGCCTTTCTGGGAATTGAATCAGTGTACTTGAAGAGTCCCAAATCCCTTTACTTTTCACAGTGCAATAGCAACCTCTCTAACCACAGTTCATTGAAAATTGTGCTATTACTTTCTTGTGGTGTATGTGTTTTGTGTGCATCTGTAAATTTAATAGGGTTGACATCAAAGGTGGAAACCTCTTAAAATACTCTTGATTGTGGCCTAAAATGCTCTCATAAACGTAGATGTACAAAGCAGCTGCAACTGAGGTCAGTCTTTCCTGTAAGATTGTGAGCACTTCTATTACTCACGCTGCAGTGACTTGCATCTCTAAATTAATGGTACAAACCTTATTAAATGGTACAATAAAGCAGAGCTTAAGCTGGCATGAGAGTAAGGCTGGACCAACTAGAGGATGTTATTTAGGATGTGAGTCAATGAAAGAACTATGAGGGGAAACCTGATCTATTTAACAAAAGGATGTTTTTAGTCTTCTTGTCCAACTTACTTTAAACACCCAATGCTGTGTACTACCTCTGAATCACTCTTCTGGCTCAAACAACCAAACCGTCAATAAAGAATATTTCTTTTTTTTTGGCACTAGTCTGGTTAAAGCAAAAATGTGTTAAAGTATGAGAGATTTTTCAATATCACACATTAGACATGACTGCAGTCTATTGATCACCTTTTTGAAATGTTAGCAATAAAGAGAGTTTACTGAGCAAATCATGCAGATACAGTACTGTAACGTAGTTCTTTTGTTTTAGGGAAAAATGTCTGAAAATCTTTTATCAGACTGTATTTCCTTAGTTGGATTTTTTTATACTTATACAAATTATTATTATTTTTTTATGAATACAGTTAACAGTACACTATTATTATAAAGTTAAAGTGGGAGACTTTGCTCAGTTAAAAGTTTCAGCTGGATTTCTATAGAAATATCAACATTTTTTACTTAAAAAACAGAACAACCCTCATAAAAAAAAGTTCATCAGATACTATATATAATTTTAAAATAAGGAAAACAATGTAGACCCAATGTTTCTTGTCTGTTCTTGCCAGATAAGCAATCCCATTACATCATTCCCTGTTCCCTCTACTGCACTGGCGATCAGGTCTAAGTGGTTACACCTGCGACATCTACACTTACAAAGAATTGCTGCACCTAGAAGGAGCACTATATATATTCCTTGCTCTTACAGTGGGTAACTGCCAGATTCTTGAAAGCAAATTGTGTGAGTAGAATGTTGCAGAAATCCTTGTTTTGACCTCCTAATTTTGACTTGCCTCTTTGCCGTTTCTCTCCTGCCTACCTTACCCCTGAATACTCCTGTTGAAATCTGATGTCTGGACACTGATATACTGCCCTGCCTCTTTACCGAGGCCCTTTGACCCTGCCCCCTGTCTGGATTGTTCTGCCAATCAATTCTCTCACCTGGATCCCAGAATCCCCTCTTGTATAGACCTTCTGGAAACCTCTGCCCCATGGACTGCTCTTCTGTACATGACCCCTGGATGAATCCCGCACAAGCCTTAGCCCAGTCAAGATTTTTATCAGTCAATCAGTGGTCCAAATCATCTAAAATTAGTCACTATGATTCCAGTTCCATTCCATTTCTGTTTCTGCAAAACTAATTTACTTTTAACCAAATTATTTGAACGCTCACTACTTTTGTAGGCTTAACTGTTTCTGGTCTCCAGATTCTGTCTAGCAATTACAACAATATTAGATCATTAAGTAGACTTGTCTCCAGACAAAAAAACTCAACACTAATAAAGCAAAACTTAAGCCAGTGTTATTTTTAACAAGCCTTTGTTTTATTTGATTTTTTAGTTTGGTTAGGAGTTATAGAGGCCCTTCATTTTTTTTTCTTTTAATACTTCTGTTCACTGAAAGAAGAATGCAATAATTCAGGCAAGCTTGACATATCCACTGGTGGTAGGGGATTGGATTCTTATTTACTGTAGCAACCTAGTGGAAAAGACATCAGGGAGCTGCCCCTTTCAACTCCATTTTGAACAATCGGACACTCAAGCAGCAGAGAATCAAGTGTGTGGTAGACAGTGAGGAAAGAGCAAATGCTTCTCCATCAGCTTTTAAAACGCATGAGTAGCTGGAAGGACACTGAAGTTAAAGGATAAATTACACCAGCCACATTTCTGCTGTTCCCTCTATGCTTGAGCTAAAGCTTATTCTTAGGTTACAACCTAAATATTACTTCTAATCCAGCAATAAATCCTTCCTTTGCATTCAGTGTTATACTTATTTCCTCCATAATTTAATTACCTAAAGTTAACAATTTCAATAGTTTTTCCCTAGACACTTACATGAAGAAATGCTATATATGTATCATGGAGTTGCAGCAGCAGTGAACAACTATACGAAATGTGACATATTTAATGCAAATGATTGCTACTAGGGCAGTTTCCTATCAATATTACAGAATCATAAAAAAACAAGAATATTGGTTTAAGTGAGGCTGAAGTTTGTGGTTTAGTGAAATTGTATGGCTCATTTCTTTTTGTTGCTGTGAGGTCAAATTTGACTTACATGTGACAGATAAAAATTCTCCCTATGACAATATTTCCAAAATTCCCTGATTTGAGCCTTCTATAAAGGTCCAAATGATCCAGATCTTTAGCAAACGTTGTTATAGAAATGTAATACCAGTCCATACACCCATCTGCTAATTCACAATTTAGATATTTTTAAATTAAAGAACAAAATCAATAAATATTAAATAACTATCCTCTATTTTTATTTTAGGCATATTTTGCTTTTTTGGAAGTGATGCCTTTATTGTAAAATTAAACCTTGATTTGACGCAGAAATGAATTTGCCTTTAATTTTGGTTAAGACTTCCCCAAATTTCCTTAAAATTATAATAATTTTATATTTTTTATTGCAATTCTAATTAAATAATGTAAAGAAAAACAAACATCCCCCGATAATTATTTTGTATACCTACTTGCCATTCACAAGTTATTACTAGCTGGTTAATTTGTCAAGCTATTTACTCGGTTTGAACATGTAGTTTGTTGCTTGACCAAATATGGTGCTTGTAGCTTGTCAGCTTCAGTTTTAAAACAGTGCTGCTTCTGATTCATAGCTGTTCATGTATTTAGAGACCAGAGACACTGTATGGGAAAAATGTGTCTTTCTAGAAAGTGATAAAGTGCTATAGAGTTCTGTCAGCCAGCTGATAGAGGACTAAAATTCTGTGTGTGGAGCAATGATTGAGGAAGCAACAGTGACCACCATAGGTAAAGGCAAAGCACAATCTGGGATTTTATGCATAAAACAGAACAACATATATTTGTGATATTTAGAATTCCTACTTTTTAATACCTTTGTATAGCTTAGTGCAAGGGAAAGGTTGTATCTCTAATAAAGCTGGTCCCTAGAGCAATGGATGTTTATCTATATAGCACATTTCAGTAACAAGACTATAAAACATGCTGTAGATCATCAAGACACAAGGAAATAAAATAGAGAATACAAACTTAAACCAATGTTATTTAATCTAAAAGTTAAAAAAACAATCAAAGGCCAGTCCAAATAAATAGGTTTTTAACCTTAACTTAAAGCAATTTAGGGTTTCAGCACTTACACAGTAATCTGAAAAGTTGTTCCAGATCATGGAGCATAAGAACTAAAAGCTGCTTCTCCGTGTTTGGCTCTGATTTCCAAGGACATTAATAAATCAAAGTCAGTCTAATTCAGCTTGTCCAATGCAGCCTAATTCTTAGGCGATAAGCTAAAATAAAGGGCCAAACAACAGAGAGCAGGACGGACAAAAGTTTGAGGGAAACTTCGGCCTAAGCAGCTCAGGAAGTGAACAGTAGGACTTACATCATCTTATTTTTTGTTTCTTTCCATTCTTACCTCCACTCTGCTTCTCTTCTCATTAAAAGCTCTACTTTCATCCAGTCCACGTAGCTCGGTACCTCACAGCTGCCTTACTCTCTGGTTCTCTCTTTGTCTCTCGTAGTCTGGCTTGTTTTAGTCATTAGCTGACATCCTGATAATGTCTCAGACACCTGTTCTGCCCTTCCAGTGCTGCTTCTCCTCATTCCGTCCCTCTAACTCTTCTTTTTTCCCACTTTTTATTTTCCCTTCTCTCCGTCTCCTTATCTTTCCGACAGGTCTGGAGAGAACAAATTAGACCTGCTAAATTAAGCCACACACAGAGCTCGAGCCTAGCTTTGGGGAGAAGTACGTGTGTGAGTGTCTACATGTCTGTTAAAGATGGAAAGATACAACACTCACACTCAAATACTGGTGCTCTTTGAAAATCTGGTGAAACTGATCTAATGAGAAGGGCCTCAAGAGTTGATTACTAGCGGTAATGCAAAGGGTTGGGATTATTTGACCAGAGAAGAGATTACAAAAATTGAGTAGAGAAGGGAAAAATGCTATAAGCTTCTGAACTGGAAAAGATAAGAAAGTAATTTGTGGTTTACACAGTGGTAGAGTAAGTAAGTAGGTATATTTAAGTAAGAACTTTATAATGGGGTGTTTCTCACATATTTCTGAGATCATTACAGCCTGAACGGGGGACTCCGTGGAAGACGGTTGTGGGTTTTAACCAGCTGGTTGGCTGGAGTCTATTTCTAGTGTGCATTTCTCCTGGTGGTTTTCTCCAGGTGGTCCTTCCCACGATCCAGATTCATAAACCATGAGATTAATTGACGAATGAAGATTAAAAAGAGTGAGCAGGAATTGTTTTTATTTCTCACAGTATTAGTGCTGTCATGCAATAGCTAGTTTCCAGCATGTAAACTGCTTCTCAATCCCAGCAAAAAGGGACAGGCTAGGGACATGGCTGTATAAAGATATCCTCATGCATCTATTCCACCATTCAGAGATTGAAAAACTGTTTATTTCGATAAACATCCAATAAATTCCAAGGTATTTATTAGAAAGCTGGGAAAAGAGAGCCAATAGAGATGTTGTGAGGTGGATGAACACTCACATTTTAGAGCAGCCTAGAGACATCTGTAAACCTTAAAGTTGTTTTTTTAAACTGTGGGAGGAAGCAAGAGTGAATCTAAAAACTCTTCAATGTAAATATGCCAGAAATGGTTCAAGAGCTAATCATCAGTAATCCCAAGACAAATGCTAAAAACATCTAAGACTACATTCACACAGCAGATCCTGAGGCTTGGTTTCGATATTTTGCTGAAATCCAATTTTTGGTGAGGTCTTTTATACTACTAATTAAATGCGGACCCCCAGAGGACTTCAGTTTGAATGTTTCAGAACATCAAAGCGACCTGCACGAGCAGAAGGATATGTCACACAGCAGCGCATGGGATCTTGAAGAAGTACAGCTTAAAGTATTGATTGCTGATTTGAATACATGAATAATAAAATAAATGGGCAAATATGAACAGTTAAAACCACATTTCTTGAAACTCTAGGCAGTTTTACATGAATGTTACCTTTGTTAAGCAAAAATAGTAATTAAAACCCAATTTTAACCTGGAAAAGTAAAATTTAAGTACCGTAAAATAAATAAACCTTTGATCTAGAGTAAAAAAGGGGATAGTATTTTTTACTTTTGTCGATTTACAGGACAGGTCCTGCATAAACACTATCATAAAGAAAGACACATAGAAAAACATTAATCTAGTGTATTTTCTTCATTAATTTTATTTCCAGACATTTTACCTTCAGTTAGGGACTGTGTATAGTGGTTTTAGTTATGGTACAACAGCTGTGGGTGCATTAAACCTAAACATTTATCTTACATCTGTTTCCTAGAAGGAAAAATTGTTAGAAGAGGAATAGTAAATGTTTTCCAGTTTGAATTCACTCAGTAAAATACAAAGATGACACTATAAAACGCTAGTTCATAAATAAATACACATGCTGTCTCTTTCATTTCATTTTGTCTTTGCTTTTATTTTATCTCATGACTCTTTTCTTCTCAGATAATAGGCAGTGCCAAGAGCTCTTCATCTCTTCCTCTTTTTACTCTTAGGAGGAACCTTTTTAATGCCTTTTTGACTTTCTACTTTCCTTTCTTTAACCCGTCGATTATAGAGCAGAGTAACATCTTAAATTTAAAGTCCCTCTCTTTGTTCTTTGAGCTTCCTGACAAAATGACAAAGCAAATCTCCTTATCCATTCAGTTGACAGCCTGGAAGAAAAAAGCTTTGCATCCTCCCAACGTCCTGTCCTATATCTCTCCATTTCTCCTCCTTTGTCAAATGGATGGATGAGTAAGGCTTGTTTGGGTGTGAAAGCTTGGCATTTTCAGAAAGCTTTGCTATGACCACTGCTGCACCATTCTTCAATACAGCTGGTTTTATCTTTCTCTTCATTTCCCATTACAACAAAAGCTGTTTAAGAAGATTTAAACTGTGCTAACACTCAGATAGACACACAGAATGTTAAATAAAAAACATCTCTAATTACTGCAGCTCCAGTGTGTGAGGCTAACTTACCACAAGTGAGTAGTGGATTTTGAATCCCGGCTTTGCGACAAAGTAATCGTCCGACTTAAAGGTGATTCTGAGTGTGTTGGATTTAGAGGTTAGACTAGAGGGTGCCTTCTGTCCACACCAACGTCCCCACTTTATGGTGCTGCTCTGGGATTTTTCCTCCACCTCAACATAGTCATAACTGGAATGACAGAGAAAGGTAATTTTTTAAACAGGCCAAATTTAGCTTTAAGTTTAATTAACTCTCACATCTTGCACATCTTTAACTCCCAGAATTCTGATACTACTGGCTCCCACTCGCCGTCAATTTGACGGGTGATATTTTTCCCAATGGAATGCATTAGTATTGATGATGTCAACAACTGAAATGGTGTGCCACGAAAACCCAAGGTGGATATGTAAACCTTAAAACAGGTCTTGTGCTGTATATATTTCTTAGAGGCTATATTTTATACTATTATTATTTGTGGTCTAAATTTGTATTCAAAATAAATCAGTAAAATAAATAAGACTGTTTTACTACATAGTTTCAAAGTTTAAAATTACAATTTTATTTACTGAAATTGATTGATTACCCCCGAACATTTTCCACCCAGCACTTTTCATATTTATGACAAATATCATGGGTTTTTTGTTCAGTGCTGATGCACCTGGCACTTTTTTTTTTGCCTCGCCAAAGCTGACTCTTCTGCGGGGTAGGGGTTGGTAACCTACAGCTCTCTGGAGCGCATGCGGTTTGCACGCAACTGTTTTACCAGTTCAAGGATAAAGTCTCTGGGTGAGACAGAGATATTCAAGCAGCTCCTGAACAAAACCAATGCGTTTATAGCTGCTATATCCAGTATATATACAGACAGCCACAGGCCACGTTTGCGTTGAAGCTTGTACAAAATACTTTCAAATGATCTAATCCAACACAGCCACGCCAACCTGTGTGTAATTATTGTAGACCATGTGCTTTTGGGTCACTAAGTGTACCGGCTAAGGTGTGGGCAGTGCTATCTAAAACTTGAACAAAAGTTTCACTTTTGACTGATGGGTCACTGATACAACTGCATTTTGGGCGAACATCCTCGGACTTCTGAACCACTTCCTACCCAGTCCTCTTCATCTTCTCTTCATCGGTCCCTCTCCGACCAAATCGCTATCATAAATATTTTGAAGCATTTCTAAAGCCTGTTTTGCTGTTAGATTTCTTTCTGAAAGACATTTTTTGGTATTAGCCAAAGAATTCAAGGTAGGATTTTGGTTGCTAGGCAACATTACTGGACGTCAATCAAGTGTGAGAAGAATTTACAATGCATCTAATAGAGCCGTCAAAATGATGGCTATGGGTGATTGAGGTAAAATTAACCATATTTATTTTTTACGTTTTTATTTTATAAAAAAAAAACTATGTGACTATGAAGGAAATATAGACACAGGAAAAGTCAATTAACATGAGCAACATATTATTGATGTAAATAAAGTTCTTTCCCATTAAAATCTCAGAACCATCAAAATGACAGCCTTGAGAGTTCTAGTGTTAAGTAAAAAAATCTATAATTATACCTACACCTGTCTGCCAAAACATTCTGCCACTTAAGGTTAATTCCCAAACATTAATAATCTCTCATTAACAATATTTTTATAGGTGGAATATTTTAGGCTGTAAGATCACAGTTTGTCCATAACACTGATGTGTTTGAAGCTTTGACAATGGACAAGCATGATGGCTTTGTTAAAGTATTTTCAGAGCAAAATTGTGATGCAAAGATGACTGGCTAGAGGACCTCCGAAACTCCAGCTCTTTGTGGTGTGGGCTAAAATTCCTGAGAAAGTAAGAGATTCTGGTATAAAAGTGCATCAGAATCTGCGTGACAGAGTTGAGGCCTGAAGCAATGGAGCAGGGGGGCCTGGCATGATGAATCACTGTTTCTTTTACGTCACATGGATGGCCGGAGGGTCGTGCATTGCCTACCTGGAGAACAAATGGCGCCAAGATTTTCTATGTGAAGAAAGCAAGAGGCAGAGTGATGCCTTGGGCAATGTTCTGCCAGGAAACCTTATGTCATCCAATTCATGTGGATATTACCTTGACACATAGACCCTACCGAAGCACCGCTGCAGAATATGCCCTTTTTTGTGTAAACTTTATTCCAAAATAACTCTAGCCTCTTCAAGTAGGATAATGTGGTCTTAAACATATTAAAATTCGATCAGAAATAGTTTTTAAGCAGCAGAACAAATTAGAGGAGTTAAATTGGTCTCAAAATTCCACTACATTCCAATTCGGCATAAGTGCTGCCCAGGTCCTATCTATGGATGGCCCAAAGCAGAACTTTCAGGACCAAATGCTATTGCTAAACTTCAGGGGTCAAGCGCAGTCCAAGCATTTCAGGTAAGGCCGTTCAGCCATCAAATACACAATTAGGCAGTTGTTGTTAACGTTTTAATGGATCTGTTCATCTCAGTTTACATTAATATCTGACTTTGATCTGGATTTGGTTATTATGCTGAAAGTGAAAATGAATAAGTTTAAAAGACCTACTCCAAACAGTGCATTAGGATATTTAACAAGTTTAGTATCTAAGGATTTAAATACTGGCATTGTTTTTGTTCCAGTAACGCCACTGTGGTTAATTCACAGAGAAGTTCAAATATTTAAATTGCCACTTTACTAATTTGGACCTATATTTCCTGTCTCCTACATTGGACAACTGCTTCATATTTTATTTTTGTCTTCTTTTGCATTAAAACTAGGGCTGCAACCAATGATTATTTTGAAAATCAAAACTTCTTTGGATTTTCCCATCCTTGAAAAATGTTTCTTTTCTCTATTTCGCAAACTCCACACTGTTAAAAAAGTAAATGGCAATTGTTGTTCTAACACACAATTGTATTGTAATCCGACTCAGAAATATAAATTTGACATCTAACAAATAAATACACGTTTGCCCAACTCAAATTCTCAGAAGTTGGTTTAACAAGGAGTTTTAAATCGCCTATACAAGATTTTTTGAGTTCCCTCAACTGTAAACTCATGGGCATGCGCACTGCTTATGTTCATGGACACGCCCACTACGGTACGGGGTTTCCTATCCCTTTCTTCAAGGGCACAGCCTTTTTCCCTCGTGTTTGAGAAGATTGGCGGACATTGTGATTTTATGCATCTGGAGAACCACGGAGGAACGACCCTGGGACCTTACCAGTTTTCCCGGTGAGTGCTGCAAAGTACAGACAGTTAGCGGTTAGCTCCGTGAGTTAGCATTCCCTTGTGGTGTATTGCCACCGAGTTGAAGCATGAGTTCACATGTTTTTCACGTTCTGATGAAAGGAAAAGCAGCGCACGTGCACGTGTATAATGCGCGTGTGCGCGTGCGTGTTTATGCCGCGCATGTGCGGGTGAGTGTTTATGCATAGAGAAAAGAGTGTGCCTGTTATTTTCATTGTACAAATGAAAAGAGACATTAAGTTGAGTGTAATAACTTATTAAATTTCTAATTTGTTTTTTTGGATACCCTGGATTCTGGATTCTCTCCTTAAATGGAGATGGTGAGCCAACCGTGTGAACATCTGGATTTGGATTGAAGAGAAGGATTTGGACTGAAGAGGACTTTCTTTTTTTGCATTCATCGTCCTGTCGGAGTGGTAGGACTAAAAAGAAAAACTCAGAGATAAAAAGGGAAAACCTTTTTCTTTTTCCGTTGGGAAACAAGACATTTTATTTCATTTTATTTTTTTTAAAAGGGTGCACCCAATTTAAAGAGACTACAATTGAAAAAAACAAACTGAAGGCCGTCCAAATTTGTAAAACTGTTATTTTTTCATATATGTTAATACACTTACTTCACAAAAAATTACCTGTGTGTTTTCCTCTTACTAAAATGGTGTCTTACTGTTTTTTCCCTCATCATCACTCATACGAATCTAGAACATTCTGGTCCAGTGTCATGTTACTTTGATCTGTGCAGTTAAGATTATGTTGTTGAACATGGTTTTATACTGTATCTATGCAATGTTTGGCTTGAAGCAATAAAAATGTTGTATTAACATAATTTTTTGTGTGTTGAATGATTGGTAGTGAAGACGATTGGTAGGACTAAAAAAACTGAGTTGATAGAACTCAACTTGCAGATAACACTACAAAATCTGAGTTTGTAGAACTCAAAATCTATATGTCAAACTCATAAAACAAAGTTGATAGAACTCAGAACTTAAAGGTGAAACTCAAAAACCTAAGTTGGTAGAACTCAAAATTTCTATGTAACACTCCAAAAACCTAAGTTGGCAGAACTCAAAAATCTTTGTAAACTCAACCACAGTGAATTTAAGTAAGGAAAACTCAAAAAACCAAATGCATCACGTTGCCTAGAAAATGTAAGTTCTGTCAACCTCTATTTTTTTTTCAGTGCACTTTTCTTTTAAAATTATGCTCACACAGACAACGGAGTTGCATTTTAGAATTAAATAATATTTTTGTGTTGTTAAACCCCCAAGAACAAACTTCTTAAGTTTTTGCCAAGAAAGAAGACTTCCCCTGTCAACATTTGAGGCATCACAGAACTCTTTTCTTGAGTATGTACTTTATATACAACGGTAAATTATTTAACATTAGTTTTTACTTCTTGTCATAATTTCATTTACTCTGCATAAAATGTCCTTGATTTAAGTCATTCTCTCAACTACTGAGTTGCAAACTTTTTAATCACTTTTGTCTTTCAGACAACTTTTCTCTATTATACATGCCCGTGATGCATCACTGATCCCTCCTGTTTGTCCTCTGTATCTCAATCTTCCTTTGTCTTTCTCTCCTTTTGTCTCTCTAAGGGTATTTTATGTCTTCCTCTTTGTCTTCCCATATCATCTCCCGTAATCATGCAATCTGAATCCCATCCCCGCCACTTCGATCTGTTCTCTCCATCTTCCTTAAGCTTGTCTTTTACCTGCACTTTCCTTTCACAGGCTCCTCTATGTTGAACTGTTCATCAAACTCAAGGTGGATGACGGTCCCAGGTGGTGACAGCAGTTTCCATGACAGACACAGGTTTCGGGGATAGGCTTTGGGGTAGTTTGGGCTGGAGATGAAACCGCCCGCTGAAGTCACCGTGATGTTTTCGTCACTGCGGTACAAGTCTGTGGTGGGGTGAATGAGGTATGTTATTGATTTCAACAAATAGTTGTGAGGTCATGCACTTCACAGACACAGCTGAAGTAAAAAAAAATTATTCACAAAAAAGGGGATAAAAAAAGAGATGTTAGCAAACATGAGAAGACTGAAATATGCAAAATGAAATTTATGATACATGTTTTTGACAAAATACAGTTTAATTGTATTTCATCGTTATGTATTGGTTAGTAAGCAGTTATGCCTCAGGGCCTTTGGTTCTCAAACTGGGGTACATGGGCCTTTATACTCAAATGTTAATTGCATTAACTGAGGTGTAGAGCTAATAAGCATCAACAGCCACAAAGATGGCTGGTGTGCTAATTATCCTTAAGCTGGAACCAAGTTTAAAATGTGTTAAATAACTCAACTTGGCCATCCTCTAGCATTTAATGCCATTTTCATTGTCAGTGCAGTTTTTTTTTTTACCCCTGTAGCAATATCTTAACTGAAGATGCTGTGTAGAAGCAAAGCATCACGTGGAATGGTATTGAGGATAAATATAGAGTGGGGAGTTATTTTTCAGGATCTGGGCTTGGCTACTCATTCCCAGTGAAAGAAACTATAGGAGATTTTGGACAATTCCATACCCCCAAATTAGTAAGACTTGTTTGGAGATGGATACTTCCTCTTTCAACATGACTGCATCAGTTACCAAAGCAAGGTCCATAACAACATGAATAAGAAAGTTTGGCGAGGATGAGCTTCACTGGCTTGAAAAGAATCATGGCCTCTACCTTAACAGAAAAACTTTGGGATAGATTAAAAGTCGAATCTGAGAGCCAGTCTTTCTAATCAAACATCAGTTTGTGGGCTAACAAATGTGTTATGGAAAAAAAGGTTGAAACAAACCATAAAAACATACTTCTAAACATGGTGGACAGCCTTCCCAGAAGAGCTAAAGGTGTTCTAGCACCAAAGAGTGGATGAATGGCACATTGACCCATATGGAAAAAAACTGCATGTTAGGTTCATGTGTGGATCAAGGCAAGTCAGTGAATAATTTTGGCAATATGTTGTACATTTTGTATAAAAACAAAGTTTTAAAAAATAATAAACACTTCACTTCATTTCTAAACATGTTACTTTTAATCTCTTACAATACTATAAAATATTGTCTCAAGTCTCAAAATTTTACACATTACAAAAAGTATTTGCCTTTTTTGACACCTGATACATAAATACCATTTAGTCTACTGACATCACATAAACAAATATGGCATAGTATTTATCAATATAAATATTGACTTTTTTTAAAGCAGATATAAGTTGTCACTGATCAATTAAAGACTTTAGAATTAATTGTAAAAAAAAAACCTTAATACTTAAATAATAAAAAGGTCCAACGAAAAGTGGATGAAACAGAATAGAACAGAATTTTTACATACAAAGGCAAGATAATTATTTTTGAAGCACGAAAAGGGTTCAAAATAAACATGAAAAAGTTATTAAAACTATTAGCAGCCCAAGGTTAGTAAACATTACTGATTAATAAAATGCATTAAATACTTTGACTCTAGAATACCTGCATCTCTGTTAAAGCTGTGGTGTTAGGGACAAACACTTTAAAATCTTGCTCCATGGCAACAATAACTAGAAATGGATGGAGCTGAAAGCTGCAAGTATATACATGGAGAGAAGTAGATACTCAGTAAAATCACCAGGAATTGAACTGAACATCAAGACCAATTTTGCGTAAACTAAATGTGTGAACAAGCAAATCCGATTGGAGTAAAAAATAAAATAAAATAAAACATCTACTGAAAATATGTAATGATAAATGACAATAAGCATTAAAAACATTGATTGTCTGCATGGTTGAATTCTGTATGTTGTAAAAAGACTATATAAGCTATAAGAAGATGATTTCTTCTAATAACTATAAACGCATCCTTCCTTCTTGATATTACTCGTATATCAACTGCCAAACAAAACTGTGTTGTTGACCTTCTTATAATTACACACAAAGTCTCACACACATCTTCACAAACAGAGAGAAACACACAACGTCAGAAGGTCAGGATTTGTGCTGAACAGGGCTGACAGGGCGATATTTTCTAAGTGCTATGTGGTTTTTTTCTGCAATAGAGCTGAATCCGTAATCAAGGTGCTGCAGTATGCACCCCTGAGAGATGATGATGAAGCTCCAGCCTTCTCATCCACCTCTTTTCTTTAAACTTCATCTAATTTTTAGCCTTACCCACCTCTCGGTTTCCTCCCTAACTGTAATTTACCATTTTGGTGTTATCCCGATTCTCATCCAAACACAACAACCTAAAGGTCTTTTTGAAATTAGAAACCTGTCATATTTTTGTTCAGATTTTTGCTTTGGTAAATATGTCAATGCATAGCAATGCAAGGCATGCGTGATGATGAAGACGATTTGTTTGTGTAGAATCCTTGTACCATGTTTATTGAAGCCTCACTGTGAGGCTCTGAAGTAATTGCATCAAGGAATGTCCTCCAATTCAAGTCAATAGGGAACTCAGCATGACTTAAAAAGAGCTTTCGATTTAAAAAAAAATGTGATTACAAGTGGAAAAATATTTACAACTCCTATTAATCCATTTTGCCCTAGCATCTAATTATGTAATGAATGAATGAGTTGATTTATTTATGTAGATATAACAGTTATAACAATAATTTATCTAAATTGGAGTCAAAGTATTCTAGATTATGCGCAGAGTAACGCCTTGCTCACACTGGCTCCGGTGCGGTTACCGAGCCGACCGAGACCGCAACTCCCGCACACCCCCTCTCACACCGCCCTTTTGACTACGGTGCGGTGCGGCTCTGCGGCTCCGGCAACAGGTCCGGAGATTTAACTCGCGAGAACAGAAGTTCACTTGAGTTCACGTGACTTCACGCGATAACACGGCCCAAATAAGGATATTTGCGAGAGCTTGTTGCGGAGGGCTCCGGCACGCCGCAAGGATAGCTTTCTAGCGGAAGTGTGTCTCGGTAACCGCAGACAGCTCAGCAGCCGGTGAGAGAGGTTTACGTCTTTTTAATGACTTGGAATCACTGCGGCGCCGCACCCACCGCACCGCAACAGTAAGACCGGAGTCGGTGTGAGCCTGGGGTTAGAGTTATGTAATAAACTATACTGCAATCAAACTGGAAATGTGTATTTACTAGCACAGCCATAGGTTTCATGCATTCACTCTTTGAATGACAATAATGTTACTTTTAGCCCTACATGGAAAGCATGATAAAAAAAAAAAAACTTGTAAATCTACAAATACCGTTTTTAAAATGTCTGTGCGTGGGCTCCTTGTGACTGCCTGTGACATGTTAAAAAAAACAAAACACTTTTCCAGAGAAATTGTGCAATACTTTCCATATGGCACTGGCCCCTTTTGGACACTGCTGCATAGTTACATAATTGGCTTAAATATAATTCATGCAGTGATATCAGTGACAGTTTTTCAAATTTATGCAAATTAAATAATGATTTGAAAGTGCATCTGTGTGCATAATCAAAGGAGATAAATTACACTACTTATAAGGGAAAGTTATATTTGCCTCCGATGGGGGCAAATAGTAGTTTAGGTTATTGATTGCAGGCTAATGCAGGTTTGAATCCTGTTAACATCAGGGAGGGTATCAAGTGTAAAAACTCTGCAAATTCTGTAAGTCTGTAAGCAGTAGTAACGGTTTCAGTGGCGACCTCTGAATAATGGAGCAGCTGAAAGGACTCATCTTCATAGAAAAAAGTTAGACTGAAGTTTATTGGGTCAAAGGTGATTTAGCAGAATCTGAATGCAGATCTGAAGGCCTAGAATTTTGTTTGAAGTAATAGCTGTTAACCTTTCCGGCAAGTTCAAAAATAAAATTTTTTGAGGAATGCTGCAAAAGAAGTAAATAACTTTGTTTTAGTATAAATGTAATAGATGTTAAGACGTGTGTATTATCATCACTAATCTATATAAAATAGAAAGAAGCAGAGTCTAGAATTTGTTTAAAAATGTATTTAAGACACTTACTCAAATAATAAGTGTGAGAAATTGTAAAGGATACATTTGTATGATTCAAATTAATAATAATTAAAAAAAATTTTAATTTTCAGGAAATTTAAAATATTTTAGTTAGTTTTGGAAGGAATGAAGTCAATATGCGATTTAAAAGAAAATATCAAAAGTTTTGAAAACATTAATTTTCATCCCTTGTCACGAATGCAATTGAATGGGTTTCGATTTGGACATCAGCTGAAGGATTATAACACACAAATACGCTTTGATCTAAACTGCACCTTTATAGCTCCTCCTATATGGGTTAGGGTTAGAAGCCTCCAGTCCGGCTTCTATAGGAGTCTTGTTTCACTTTGGCAGACACTCACCGGTTTTCATTAGCAACTGCCCCTGTCTTTAACTCCATCCATCTTCCCATTAATGCTGATCAACTGTCTCTCCTAGATATAGGTCTCCCCATGATGCTGCCACAGCCATGCTTCAATGTAGGCAGGGGGGGAATTTACCATTAGGCAATACTAGGCAGTTGCCTAGGGCCCCAAGCTCCTGGGGGCCCCTTAAAACTTTGCTTAAATGTATGGCTAATACAAATATTCTTTATTTGTGCACATTAATAATGTTTTTGATAAAAAATTCTTTCACTAAAATGCCATCAGAATGCTGATAATATTTAATGTGTCTCAGCCCCCCCCCTTCAGTGTCCACCATATTGGATCAGTCCATTTGCTGCACAGGTTCAGAAAGGTCCAAACAGACAGCAGCAAACCATTTGAAAACAAACGATGCAAAGAGCAGTGTTTCCAACTTAGCACTTTAGTCGCTATATTTAGCCACTTTTCAGACCTCTCTAGCACTTTGATTGAAAAAAGCGCCTAATGCCAAATCTAGCGACTTTTTCCTGCTACCGGAGACTTTGGAGACAACATCTAAAAGCAGCGAACTCTGCTCTCCAGAGCAAGTAGATTGGTAACCCCGCCTCCTGCTCTCCTCTATCTTGT